GGTTAATCTCATTTCAAACTTGAAGGATAAAATGAAACCTGATTACCGTATATCCTCGGTCAGAAAGGCTTATTTGTTTATCCATACAGAGTAAATTCGTCACTTGTTTGCCAGTGAATTGGCTTCACATCTACATCTTATTACGTCGGTAAAGTCGATTAGACATTACACCAACTTTCTTGTTATATAAACAGGCAAAAATTAAAAAAAACAGCAACAAAGTCATAAATATGGTTATTTGAGAAAGGACGAAATATTTTGCAATCAATCATATGAAACACACTTCCAAACCAAGCCTTAAACAGTCATGACCTCATGCTTAAACAAGCTCAGTTACTTTTGAATAAAATACTGCAGACAATATATAAAACTGAATATATAGCAAAATAAACACACTAAAAGTCTGTTCACAACGCTCCTGGTTTCTCTTGTACATTAATGAGACGAACGCAGCAAGCCTTTTGCTCCTCACAATTAAATAAACGTCAAATCATTTAACATGTCCATGGAGTAAACGTTTGAGAAATCAGGGGAGGCTGTACGTGAAAAGTGAAACCTGAACTTCTACAAATCATACGCTCTAAGATCAAACGCAGCAAACTAAAAAAGCATTTCACTGAGGCGTTACATGTTTCAAAACAATGAGGGAGGAAATAAATTATTTCTTTAAAAATTCTTTTTTATTGTATGCCTAATTCTGCCTTGTTCAGTAATGCTTAAGGTGGCTCCCTACAGTAAATTGGCCGTGCGCAGCGTGAGCACTAGTATGGCGCGAGCTTTAAAATCCGCGCGACGTCCACGCAAAAATCAAAACAAACATGGCCTCTCAGGTTCGAAATATTCCACCCAAAAAAACTTTATTAACTTTCTGCTGAAGCTCATTGTGCAAAAAGTTTGATTAGAGTAGGTCAAACATCTATGAGAGGGGACAATGTTACACCGGTTACAATTCACTTTCGATCTCCATAAGAGTAAATTGTATGTAAAAACAAAGCAGAAATTTAAATTCCAAAGACATCAATTCTTTCGCTTCAAAAGTAGACAAACGTTAAATAGTCGAAGTAAATGGTGACTGGAAACTTTACTTAGAAAACAAAGAAGTAAGTACACTAACCCAGAAGGAAGTAATGTTGCTGTTTCTGGCCTTTGGTTCACGGTCAGTGGAAAGATCTGAAAGATCGAGCCAATTCCCGAACAAACACTGAAGATTGTCTTCACTGGCGGAGCTCCTAAGTCACTTTATTTCTCTTATATTTGATTTGATTTAAGTAATTCTAGAAGTGGCTTTAAGACAAGATAACAGGGAGTGTAATTTTTTTTGTTTTGCCGACTCTATCACATTGTTTAAAAAACTTATCAGAAAATAGGTTTCCCACTTAACTTGCATCCTAATCGAAGGAACTTTTCCATCGACGAACCAACATCCTTTTATTTTTTCTTGTTTCAAACGTCCTTCAACGCACATGTAAGATGCACTAGAAAATGCTTTTGCACAACGAGGAATAATTTTTACTCACAGATTGACCCTTGACGAAAGCAATAGTTGTCCGTCGAGACCTACGGACTCTTACGTGTAGCTGAGGACATGATGTACGATTTATAGATCGGCGCCATCTTCTACAGCAGACTTTTAAAGAAAAACTGCTCTGTTGAAATTATCCCTAAAGAAGAACAAGGTTGAAAAAGTATCCGGAAGTGGGCTGACACTTGAAGATCTGCAAACAGTGTACAGCAGATTAGGAAATGAAGGGCTTATTGCTATCCTCGCACAACCACAGTCTTCATCTCCGACGATCACCATCCTCACGAGTGACCACCACCGTCCGAATTTTAGCTACAATAGTCAAGTACTTCGAAGAAAACATCCTGTGTTAGGTATAAAATTGAATCCGCTATCTCTCCTTTTTCAACTGGCGAGACTCACCGTAATAATACTAATAAACGGCTTCAAAACAATGGCTTTCGTACTCTTCAAAGAAACCACATGTTTTCAGTAGCTTTGTGCATTATGCGCATGCGGGCGTGATGGCTCGCGCGCGCATTTTGCTCACACGACCCCGAACCACGCGTGTTTTTCGGATTTTTGTGACGTCAGCGCAGTTACTTAACCGAGAATTTCTCGCGTTTCCTTCGTTAAATTTTTTTAAAAATCGCCTCATTTCTTAACAGTCGCAGTCCCTTTGTGCTGTCATTTTTTTTGTCAAAATCTGTAAGAGCTAAACTCCTCTATTAAGAAAAATTACAAATTTCAAAATACTGGCAAAACCTTCTTAACGACCCCATGTTTTTTCCACTTTAAAATGTTAAGCAATATCGTTAATATAAAGTGGCAAAGTTTAAAGACAATTCACCGCGGAAAATTAGAAATATTAAGGAAAAATGGGCAAAAATGACAAAATTATTGCCTGTTTAAGGATGCGATGTTTCCATGGCAACGGCCTTAATCCAGAAAATGAAACTTGATAAAGGAGCCTTCTTATATGGGTAACCCTAGCGGTAAATCTCGTGAACAAAATCGCAAAGACAAAGCAACTAGATTTCCTTATGTACCGTATGCTTGATAGCTAGGATTATTAGTAAATACTCTAGGGAGCCATCTTACAAAGGGAACAGCAGTGGTTTACTCGCGCCTCCCCCGCATAAAACAGTGATTGTCCCGGAGTATTCAGTTCCAAAAGGATTTACAAATAATGCATTTCCCCTTTTAAAATAATATTGGTTGAAAAGTGATAATCAAAAGCAGCCAAAATAACAAAGGTTGGACAGACATAGTTAAGCAAATACTCTGTGCAATGAGTAATGTCACCCCTTTCCACTAAAGGATGAAACGACGGACAAAAACAATTGCCGACCTGTCAGTTTCCTCCCCAAAATCTTCACACTGTTGGAAAAAGTGATGTTTGATCAACTGTACACATGCTGTACACACACCATTTTCTCACCTAATATGTCTTGCTTTCTCAAGGGACACTCTTGCGCTATGGACGAAATTTCTTTGGCCTAGCTGCCATCCAGCTATCAAAGGCTTTCGCCAGACTGATTTGCCATAATTTACTCCTTGCAAATTTAAAGCATATGGCGTACAAAAGCCAGCCCTTCAATTTATAAAATCATGTCTGCATGACAGCAAACAATTGCAAAGGGTAAAATGCAATGACACATGCTCTAACTGGTTATGATTCTACGCTGTGGTGTCCTTCAAAGAAGTCTTCTCAATCCCTCATTGTTTAACTTCTTTGTGAATAACATGAACCAATCCGTTACCGTCTCCTCACTACACCTCTACGCTGACGACACTACCCAACTGTGCTTCAAGGCACTTTAAATAAAGACATAAAACGTATTTTTTCCTGGCTTAACCACAATTATCTTAAGGCCTATGGCGACAAGGTGCAAGTGATATGATCCTTGGATACTCTTTGCACTATTTTGACATGGAGTTTGATGACATCTCCATCAGTCTCAAAGAACACTTAACTATTCTTGGAGTACACTTAGGATCAGTTTTCTTTCAAATAGCATATAAATGTGTTGCTAAAAAGTATACGCTAAGAAAAGATAAGAGCTATTAATATAATATACATGTACAAAAGATGGGGCTACAATAACGGCTTACTACTGATCCACTTGTTTGGTGATTTTCCGTTGAGGAGTAAACGGAAAATCAACAGGAAACTTTAATATTTACCAGGCAAAATTTACTCTTGTTACTCTGCAGTTCTCTACAGTTGCATGTCCTTAAATTTCGATATGACTGAAATCTGAACTTTCTTTCAAAATTATGAAAACAAAAACAAAGGACATTGTTACTCACTAGTCAGCCTCGTACGCAAAGTCCCACCCCGCAAGGCCCTTTCAGGGCTTAAAAAAACTACATCACTGCCAAGCGACACCAATGACTACGTAAACGCTAATTCGCTAAATTTCACACCAGAAAGAAACCGCTGCTCGAGGGGAAGCAAACTGAAGTCCTTTCTGTGTTACACACGCATGGTTTCTTTGACATCACTGAAACACTTTTTGCGACCCTGTAAATATAGAAACATTTGATGCATTAACACACGCAAGTCTTCACACTCTTTGAAAGGCTTCCAGTCCAAAGGGACACCCTGTTCAAGACGCGTAATAGTGAAATTGTATACCCTGTTTAAGACTTAAGACCTTAAAAACCATACCCTGTTCAGTGGCACATACCCGTATAGGCCAAATATGGGAGTGCCCCCCCGGCCCTTTGTGATCGGCAACATTGTTGAACTCTTCTCTGATTCTATGCATCTTTATTTGCCAGTAATTTCCATAATTTTGCAACTTTCGAATTCTCTTCTTGAGACCTTAAAAATACGTAGTAAGAAAAAATGATATGTTTCTACTTACGCCTTAATTTAATGATTTGCATCAAACTGAATCGTAACGTCGTCGCCAATCAGCACAAATGGAGCCCAGTACTTTGGGGCAGAAAAGTTTTCCGAGTCCCGGAGACATTTCATGCCTGCTGAAGAGCATGACTAGCACTTTCGCTGGCTCTCAGGTGTTGGTAGAAACTTTCCAGAAACTCCATGGTGGCTTTGTCATCGATTGCCCAGAGTGACACTAGCACAGAACGAGCACCAACAAACAAGAAGGCCCGCGCCATACCGACGACGCCCTCGGAGTTAACTTCTCCTTTACCACTATGAGAACAACTGAGCACAACCAGCCTCGCTGTCAACTCAGTAGCTTGTATATCAGACATCTTCAAAATATAATCCTCCTCCATAGGAATAGGATTCTTTGATTTCCAACTGGGGTTTTTTATCCAAGGCAATTTCACCAGTCTCCTTTCTTCCGTGGGCTGCAATGTGAACTAAAGCGACTGGCTCTATTCTTTTAAGCACCTCCTGTTTTGTTGCAGCTTCTCCTGTAAGTGGTTGGCCGTTTAGGATTCCTCCAATCATCTCTACCTCCTTTTTTGCGTAATTAAGTTATGTATAAATGGGCTTATCCCGTTTATCTGTAACTTTCTAAAGACTTGGATCTCCAACAAGCAGGACTCCATCTTTAGCGTGGTGATCAGCTGCAGAATCAGTGATCAGTTTTAAAATTGCTAGCGAGGGAACAGTACGGATCCTTAAAGATTCACTTAGGGCTGCCCATGGAGCTAAAGACAAAGCACCATCAGGGACTACAATAAGTTCGTCACAATTAAGCAAGTCTTCAATGGGACCAACAACAACATCATACAGTGGCTGTAACCAGTCAGTATTCCTACGTGACGGCTCCAATATTCGCTCATCGCCTCGAGTATTGGGAGCTGGATTGTCGTTTACCTTTTCCACTGACCGATTCTCGCATATTACATTGACCCCAGCCCCAATTTTTTTCAAAGAAGCTTCCAAAAGAGGCAGCAAATGAATCTTCTTCATGTACATTTTCCATTGTTAACTTTGCTTGCCTGAATACAGCGTTGCTTTCCTATCCCAATACCCATGAATTAATTGTTTCATTTGTATTGCAAGAAAAGCTGTCAAAGTAGATGTTTTTCTTGAGATGTTTGTAACCTCTTCTTCAGGTTTATTGCACCTGTGTGGAAATGATGGGAAACCATATTTTATTTCCAAGGCGTCTTGCAAGGCTTGTGCTCTTCCTTCCTCAGCAGCGTAAAGGGCCTCGTTCGTCTTTTGAAGCATTATAAGAACTTGCCATAAATAGGTGTAGGCATTTGTCCAAACCGTACGATAACGTATTTTCCAGACATCTTTGGAAATGAGACTGCCTCTAATAGTGTTATGAGTTTCTACGCTCAATCTAAAATGAGCTAAAGATTAATTCAAAGAATCTAAATTTAAATAAGAGATGCCTAGATTGTAATAGGCTTGTCCTTCTCCGGCCCAGTCGCCGACGTCCTTGGCTATGCTAAGGTCTTTCTCGTGGTACTCTATTGCTCGTTGGAAGTCGCCGAGAGAGTGATAAGCATTGCCGAGATTGCAATAGGCACGTCCTTCTCCGGCCCTGTCTCCGAGGTCCTTGGCAATGCTAAGGTCTTTCTCGTGGTACTCTATTGCTCGTTGGAAGTCGCCGAGGTTTCGATAAGCATTGCCGAGATTGCCATAGGCACGTCCTTCTTCAAACCTGCTGTTATTTTGCTTGGCTTCTAAAAGACGCTTCGTAAGATTTTCAAGTCGTTTTATTATCCTCTGTGTCATTCTTAAATCTTAATATTGCAAGTGTGATTGCTTCTTGAAGGTAATAAGCCTAGAGAAAAAAAATTGTTATGAAAGCAATCATAAAACACGTAAGAAAATAAGAAAAGAAAAAAAGGTTTTTCTTTCATGGACTAATTAACAATTACCTAAATAAACCCCAACACCTATACCGCCGCGCAACCCCCCCCCCCCGACCCCCCTCACTCTTCTCATGCTTAGTGGACAATTTTCAAAGGTGTTCCCAAAATTCCTGTCGGACCTAACCGAACTAGTCTTTTCCATTTTATTTCTAACCGAATTTCCTGAAGTTTAAGCGAAATAGAAGGCGCCCATCATTTTTCTCACACGAAAATAAACATCGTTCAAAATTCTGCCTGGACCTATAGCTTTTATTTCCATTTCATATTTTACCGGTGAAAAACATTGTTCGCTCTTGTGATTGCCTAGAACTTATCTGCATGTGAAAATGTACTAAATTACTTTTTAGTGGGTATATCTCAGTATGTGTATGCTGCATTTTTGAAAACGTCACCTCCCAACAGTTTTTATTCGGCCAAGAACTACCTTCAAAATAGCCATTATAAAGACTAAGACTGAAAGCAATGCTTTTTTCCTCTTTTCCTGGTGGTTTCTTGGTGTTGCAGATCATCAAATGACGTCACGTTTACCCTATTTTGTTCTATTCTATTTGTCACCATCAAGTTCGGTAAACGAATGCAAAAATTTCTGTCGGTTTGTGAGGACCGACAATGTACGGACAACGTTTGACTTAACAATGTCAGAGTTCAATTTCAACTTGATTTCTATTGCTTAAAAAAGCTCATCGAAGTCTGAGGTGCTGACGTGAAGTCGATTCACTGTAGCTTTTAAGGACTCACATTTGACGGACGGGTATACGGATTGTTCGCCGTGATTTCGGCCTTTAAAGTCACTGCAAAGCTCAGAAACGAACATGGCTTTCAGGCAAAAGTTATCTAACAAAAACGTGATGTCCTACTCCTGGTCTTACCCTCCTCTTAACTGTCACTATAAAATGACTCTGGTTAGTCAGCAATTTTGGATTTTCAAAAAATTCAATGGTCAAAAAACGATTTTTATTTTGGAATTAACATGATTAAAAAATACATTGGTATCCTGCAGCTGCGCTTCGAAATGTATTGTCAATTCATCAATATCCCAATAGGTTTTAAAAAGAAAACGAAACAAAAAAAAATAATGAATACAGTTATGACTGTTGACAGGCTGAAAAGTTTAGAATTGAAAAACTTCTTTTATTGATTTCTTTTTCTAGAAATCAAAATCATTTTTGAAAATTATAAAACTGCCAGTTTTCATTATTATTATTATTATTATTATTATGGCATTGGCATTGACAAAAAGCAGCAACTTTATATAATCAAGAAAATGATAATTATAGCCATTAGAGCAACATATTACATCTTTTGTTGTAGAAATAGGAAACTGGGATAGCCCAGACTTAATGCAATTTTGATTTCTTTTTTTTGGGGGGGTGGGGGGATGGCTTTGTTTTTGTTTTTTGTTTTGTTTTGTTTTGTTTTTTGAATAATCCAATGTCAAGCAGCATCAGTAAATTGCCTATACGTAGTGGGATTTACAATTGTACATTCAAAAACACAAATAAAGTTTCCATTATTATTATTATCTCTTTTATCACATTCTTTGATGGTGTTCTTTTTGTCCATCAGCCGGGCGCCAACTATGCACCTAGAGCGTCAGTCACTCAAGTCAATCATTCTGTTCATACACTGAGCACCTTTCTGAGGATTCGCGCAGATCCCAGCATGCAGATCTTTTGAATCTCTGTCATAGTAGCTCTCTCTGATACTTTCTTGATGTTTTCTACCATACCCTTCTTCACTGTACCAAGGGCACCAACAACTACTGGGATCAGTACGGTTTTCAAATGCCACATTCTCTGTACTTCTAGTTCTAGGTCTTTGTACTTGCTTTTTTTTTTCAGTTTCCTTCACTGCGATGTTTCTATCTGATGGAACAGTCATATCAATCAGTTTGCAGGTGGAACTCACTGAATCTTTAACGATGATGTCTGCTTTTTTCGCTGTTATAGTTCTATCAGTATTGACAGGCATGTCCCATATGATGGTGATATTGTTATCGTTATTGTGCATCACGGTCTCTGGCTCGTGTTCGTACCATTTGTCTGTAATCTCTATATCATGATCTTTACAGATGCTCCAAGAGAGATATGCTGCGTTATTATTATTATTATTATTCATAACGAGCCGCACCGTCTTAGCAACCAAAAAAATTTTGTTTATCTAGCTGAGATAGGGGACTAAAAGTCCCCTATCTCAGCTGGATACTCAGAAGCTTGTAACATTCACTATTCCATTTATCTCTGATCATATTTCGCATCTAATACGATAGAGGCGTCAATTTTCGCGCCATCATGTCATCATTCTAGGGCGAGAAATTTAATTAAAGCGCGGCCTTCAACAAATGTACGGCTCAGGTTTCGGCTAAAATTATTCAGTGCCGTCAAAGAAAAAAATATATTATTAAGGTCTGCGTATAAAGTCGATCACATTGCCAACACAGACAAAAACGCTTAAATATCTCCTACAAAATGAACGGCTGAGTTTGTTTGTTCTACGGGTCAAACTGCTACTATATATCTCAGAGGCGCTCAGGCATAATAATATGCTAGGACTTCTACCTGGATGAACCAGAAAGGATATAGAACAACTACCTATTTTTTATTTTTATTTTTACGGCTACAGGTCGAAATGCTAAACGTGTTATATATCCTAGAAGCGCTCAGGCATAATAATAACCTGCCAGGACTTCTACCTGGATGAACCAGAAAGGATATACAACAACTGCCTAAATGTTTTTTTACGGCTACGGGTCGAAATGCTAAACGTGTTATATATTGCTCAGGCATTTTTACGACTGGATGAACCGGGTTAGAAGAACTACCTAATTGTTTTTTAAACGGGTTATATATCCTAAACGTGTTATATATCCAGGCATAATAATATGCCAGGACTTCTACCTGGATGAACCAGAAAGGATATAGAACAACTGCCTAATTTTTTTTCACGGCTACGGGTTGAAAAGCTAAACGTGTTATATATCCTAGAAGCGCTCAGGCATAATAATAACATGCCAGGACTTCTACCTGGATGAACCAGAAAGGATATAGAACAACTACCTAATTTTTTTTACGGCTACGGGTTGAAATGCTAAACGTGTTATATATCCTAGAAGCGCTCAGGCATAATGATATCATGCCAGGACTTCTACCTGGATGAACCAGAAAGGATATAGAACAACTGCCTTTTTTTTCTACGCGTCGAAGTTCTAAACGCGTTATTCTTAGAAGCGCTCAGGCTTAATAATATGCCAGGTTTCCAGCGACTGATTTTAGCTGATTTTGCGTTGCGCAAGAATGGATAATTTACCCGACTTGTAAACAGATATTTCCTTCAGCCGATTGTGTCTCATGCAAGATAATGTCATGTCTGCGTTGTTTTGTTTCTACTGAAGTTTTATCAAAGAAAGCTTAAGCGAAAATAGGGAGATCGCAATTTATACTCTTACGAACTATAAAGTAGGGCTGACCTGGAAGGCGCGTTGAATTGTGCCGCCATCCTTTAAAATATAATCTGGCTGCGTTTAGGGAGACAATTTCCTCTTCCATCCAGATTTACTTGGTATATGTGTTTGCGAGAATCTTCAGACAAAGAATTGGGTATACACTGATTCGACTGGCTTGGCGATACTAAGTGCTTAAGTCTACTTACCGATTACAACATGTTTTGGAAGTATTGAGAAGCGCGCCAAACGAGGTTGTCACAGCGTTCTCGAGCGAACACGGCGCGACCTGGATTGATAAAATTACCATTACATGCAGCTATTATGCCAGCGATTTCTCTTTTCGTCGCATGGTGAATAGTTTGTGAGCACATCCTCGACTCTCGAAACATTTGTCTTGCGCCGCTATAGAAGTTGCTTCTCCCGCGAACCATAGGTAGATTTCCCGCTTAACATAATGTTTGATAATTTATGCAAAAGTTGACCTCGTGAAAGTCAGCAGTGCATTAATCGACTCAAAAATAAACAGACTTCCTACAGGGTTTTGAACACGGTTTTAATTAAAGTACTTTACGAGCGCTGCGGTAGTTGACCGCAAAAGTGTTACGGTGATGGGTACTCAACTGGATGATTACGTCACTTCATAG